GCTGTGAGTTCCCATATGAATTAAATAGAAAAATTCGTATATCTGAGAAACTATTAGAGCTAGAATCTTCAAATTCTAGATGAAGATCTTTGACATTAATGTGAACATTTAGAGAATAACGGGCGGACTTTCAATGGGATCTTGGCACCCCCTATATGAATTAAATACAAAATTTCGTATATCTGGGAAAAATTAGATTTTTTTTTGTAATTTGTCATCGTTTACATTAAAATCTTAATTAACGTTCGGAAAAAATGCATCTCTGGAAAACATTACAGTTAGAATCTTCAAAATTATTAAGAAGATTTTTTATTTATATTGCTTTTAGGGTAGCAAAGCACACTGGGTATAGCTAGTCTATATATATAAAAATGAATGTGTGTTGGTTTGTTTGTTTGGAGCTAACCGGCTGGACTTTTTACTTCAAAATTTTAAGTGGGCGACGTGCCACTCCCACATTCAAAACAAGTATTAAAAGTCGCATATCTCAGAAACTGCAAGAGTTGGAGTCCTCAAATTTTGTATGGACAACTTTGACATCCATAAGAACAATTTTGGATAAAATGGGCGGAATGCACCTTTCTTATGAAGAAAATCTTAACTCAGTATATCCTCAAATTTTGTCGGAACCACTTTAGTGTCAATATGATTCTTTGAGGAAAGAGTACTATTCGTAGGGGGCGTGGGACCCCCATATGAATTAAATACAAAAATTCGTTTATATGGGAAACTAGAGCAAGCTTCTTAAAATTTTTCACGAAGAACTTTAATATTCATCTGTACATTTTAGGGAAAATAGGTGGACTTTTATCAGGGGGTCTGAAACCCGCCATATGAATTAAACAGAAAAATTCGTATATTTGAAAAAGCTATTAGAGCTAAAATCCTCAAACTATTAGAGATAAAATCCTCAAATTTCAAATTGGCGTTGTCGTTTGTCTGGGAAACTATAGACGTAAAATCTTCAAATTTTGAACGAAGAAATTTAACATTTATTTTGGGGAAAATAGGCTGATTTTTATTAGGGGGTGCTGGTACCTCCCATTTGAAATAAGTAGAAAAAACGTATGTCTGGGAAACTATTAGAGCAAAACTCGTTTGACATCAGTGTGAAAATTTGGGTAATAAATTGTCGGATTAGCATATTAGAACATCCCGTATGAATTAAATAAAAAATTCATATATCTGTGAAACTATTAGAGCTAGAAAATTTTACATGAAAAACTTTGACATTTATGTGAACATTTAGAGAAAAATGGGCGGACCTTCAATGGGACTTTGGCATTTTCCATATGAATTAAATTATTATATTATTCAAATTTTTCATAGGTTACATTAAAATCTAAATTAACGTTTGAAAAAATTGGCGAACTTGCAATAATTTGCGTGTCATCGCCAAAATGTAAAAATGTATATCTGAAAAACTATTACAGTTAGAATCTTCAAAATCATAAAGAGTTTTTTATATACATTGAGTTTAGGGTAGCAAAGCACACTGGGTATAGCTAGTGATAGATAAAAAACAGATAACATATTCAGTTTTAGCAGCTCAAAATACATATATTAAAAATAGTCGAATTGGTTTCAAAAGTTTTTACAAATCTTCATTTCGTTAATTTTATAAACGAAATGAGAATTAGTATATCAACTCATTAAGGCCACGCAAAATTTGTTGCCAACTCTTCTGAAAGAGTCTTTTATGAGACCCTTTTCAAATCAGTTTTGACTAATTTTTGAGTAATTTTTAAGTGCAATTGTTGTTATTATATAAGAAACTATTTTAGATCTTGCAACTGCTTGAAATATGATAAGTTCTTAAAACCATCATATTTTAAACACGAAGATGATCAATTTATAATTGCTATACATTTTGTTATTGTTTTTTAAATAATCAGTTTTAAATCATATATCAGGATTATTTTCGAATAATTTTTTATTAAACACCAAAAGGAGTCAAAAAGTTTACTGATTAATCATTAGGGTGATCGATTATTAGACATTTTCCAAAAACCCGTTTTCAAATAGTTTGAATAGTTGACATTTGAAAATAACCGGTTAATTTTTTTCAAATTCAAAAAAACCGTTAACAGGGTTTCATTAAAAAAGCTCTTTAAAAATCGTAAAAATTGACATTTATGTTTTTATTTGTTTAATAAAACATGGCCAGAATGATTTTTAACATTTTAAAAGATTATAGATTAAGATCTTGGGGGCTAGATCCAACTATGGACCGAGGTTTATACAATTAGAAAGAGTGATTAATATCCTATAACAAATCATTGTTGTTAAATTTTATCTTAATGCATTTATCTCTAACAGATAAAAAGTTACAGATTTATGATCAGAAAACGACAAAAATTTCCCACTGTGTGTAGGGTCAATTAAATCCTGATGAAATTTGATAGAGAGATTTTAGTTCATAAAATAATTTGTTTTGTAGAAATTCGTTTTTACAGGTTTTCTGAAGCCAATCATTAACTTAATGTTATTTTCGTAAAAGTCTTATATAGAGGATAAATGGACCAATGATTTTAATTTTTTACAGTTGAATTCATAATTAAAAAAATCCACATTTTTTACAGTTTTTCATAAAAAAACATGGGAAAACTATAAGGATTTTATTTCAAAAATGCTTTGACTTCAAGCTTAATATTGGGGAAATTATTAAAATTTTTTCTGGCAACACTGATTAACACAAAATTGGTTTTCGATCGATATCGAGCGGCTTACCATATTACTGCAGCAAGCACTTCTTTTTTCGGGGGGATCTTTTTTCACATTACACTAAAAAATGAAATGAATATAATCAGAACGTTATGATTGAACTGATTAAAGTGATTTAAAGTTATGTATATGGTCATGAAAAATCTACTTTAAAAATGTCAAATGACCAAATTTAGGTATTAGAGTAAATTTGTAATGGTTTTTATACCTTATCGCCTAGGCGCAAGTATAGATTTCAATATTGACTGTATTATTTGCCGATTATAATCGGCTTAAGGGGAACTTACATGGATCCAATATGCAACAATCCTAATGAAAGTGGATAGGGAGATTATGGTTCCCTGTTTATGACGAATTTTATTGCTGTATATTTTTATGTTATGAACTTAACAGACTTTGTTACAAAAGATAAGCTTTCTGATAAAATTCGTCAATTTTAATATTTTGTTTTTAAAAAGAAATTACTTCCTTAAATTCGGAAGATCTCGTCAATGGCCGGTGTTACTAAATGGGCTATATCAAAAATTACCCTGATAATAATATATGACTATAAGTATTGCTTGGTATATCAAAAATATTAAATTAGTAATGTTCTTAATGGGTATTTTAAGATATCGTGTAGAGTCTAAAGATGTCTACAATATTTATTCTGCTCTAACCACTGTGCAGTAGGTATGTTTGTTTCTTTCTAAAAGATGTTGTTTTAAGTAATAAATTTAGTTTTTGTTTTGCATTGATGAAAGTTTCTTGATTTGTGTTTTGCATTAAAACTTTTGTTAGACAATTCTCGAGCTTTTTATTATCAAATAATGAAATGAATGAAAAATACAGCCAGTCAACAAACTAACCAACAATCCAGTCAGTCAGTTAGCGAGTCGGTATTCCATCTTTTATCTCTCGGACAAATTACACACATCACACGGATAATGCGATCTAATAAAGATTCAATGAAACACACATTCTTGTGAATTGTACAAAACGGCATCTAAATAATGCAGTAAGTAGCAGTGAAAAAGATGCATCCGAAAGATCTATGAACTTTTATTTTCAAAAAGAACTTTTGCATTTTAATTCGAAATTAAAACAAGTTTATTCACCCATGGAAATATTCATTTGTCCGTTTGTTTGTTGCATTTTTTTTTTTGACTGCTGGTACTGGTTGGAATCTTAGGGTGCAATGCGAATGAACAATAATAATTTAACAAAAGATCTTTTCTTCGTCTTTTGTTTTCCGACGGTGTATTTTTTGTTTTATACCTTTTTAGCATGGTGTAAAATCGAAATAAATTGTACAAAGAAAACTTAAGGTATTATTTTTGTAGAAACTTTGTGTGTTTTTATCATTTGCCAAGAACACAATCAAAATCCGTTGATCAACATTTGTGTATTCAACAAATACATTTTGTATTTTGCAGTATTTTACAAAATGAGACAAGTAGAAGAGTGGATGGTTGCTTGATTTGTTGATACTTACTTATGAGTTACCAGTTTTGTCTACTCTAGAGTAAAGTAGAGCAGATGAAGGGTCATTATGAGAAATTCCGGCAAAGATCTAACTACAGCGATAAGAATGGACAAAAGTCTAAAGTCACTCCAATAAGAAAAGAGCCATCTGTAAATAATAATCAAATCAACAAAAACAGTTCGAGTGAATTTTATTTTTCTTCTCCAAAATTTTTACTCTAAAGGGCAATGAACAATTTAAGATTTTTTTTAAAGTGTGTTATCCGAAAAATTGTAGGGGTGTTGCCAAAATTATATTTATGTGGCATTCTACCGCGATATCACCTTAAAAAGATGATTTCTTTGTTGTTTGGAATTTTGACAAAATATAAACGTTAAATCAGTTTTGTTTATTTTTTTTTACTAGTAGATACAAATATAGTCATAATGATTTGAAAACAAAATCATACACACAAAAAAATTAAACAAAGTTATGAATTTGGTGGTATAATGTTTCCACATTATATCTAAAAATACCTACATACTATATTTAAAAATAAAAACTGTTTAAAGATATATTAACTATCCGTCCATCAGGATTGAACTGAGCTTTATTTTTCCATAACTATACTGAATGGTGAAACTCGATCTACATTTAGAAAACCATTCTAGTATCAATAAATCTCGCAATAAGTTCAGCGTTGTGAAAAATTTTGATTTAAAAAAGTTGTGTACATTTTTTCAATATCAATTTTATTAACTTAACATATTTTGATTTTTATATATCGTTTGTACTCGTAAAATAAATATACGAATATATCAACAATTTATATCGTACTTTTAATAACTTAATGATGGTATGAAACAGATGGAGCAGCATAAGATGTATAATGAGTAGGAGCGGAATAGTGAGCGACTGGAGCGGAGTAGTGGGCGACTGGAGCGGAGTAGTGGGCAACAGGAGCAACAGTCTTGACTACGGCAGGAGCGGAGTAGTGAGCTACAGGAGCAACAGTTTTGAGTACAGTGGGGGCTGCATAGTGGGCTACAGGAGCAACAGTTTTTACTACAGCAGGAGCGGAATAATGAGCTACTGGTGCAACAGTCTTGACAAGAGGTTCACGGTGTACGACAGCATTAAAACCATTGTGGGCATCAGCAGTGTATTGAACAGTACGTTTGTAGCCATCAGCATCAATCAAAGAGTATTCACCACGCACTACATCACCATCACGTTCTTCAACCTGGCTCTTGGAATCACCAGTCAATTTGTCATCAACACCATAAGAGAATCTGTACTGAGGATGAGGATCGTATTCCTCTGACTTAACAACAACCTTTTGTGCAACAGCTACGGGAGCAGAATGTACAGAAACTGGAGCAGCATGATAAACTTGAGCAGCTGGAACATAACCGGCGCTGGCAACAGCTACAAAAGCAAGTGCGAAAACAAACTGTAAACAAAAAAAAATAAACTAATTAATATTTGTTTGATTTCTTACAATTGAATTCAAATAATTCGATTGTTTTTTTTTAACAAATACAATTTTTGCTCGTAATGCTTAATTTGCTTATTGAGAGTCACATGACAACAATTTGCGTTTATGCTTGTTTACCTTAAAAGCCATGTTAAGATAATTGGTAGTTTGGTTCTTTACTGAAATGTATACAAGAAACGAATGATACAATTTGAAAGTAATCGCCATCTTTTATAGCAATTAATTTAGATCGATTTTGATTTTTAATTGTAAGTAATTTCTTTGTATTTAGACATACTAATCTTTACCATAACACATGTTTGTATGTATTGTATTATTTATGGTTTAAAGTAACATATAGTTATACTTCTGTTTGTAATAAATATATATGTACATATATGGATGTCTTTAAAAATTACAGATGCCAATGATTAAAGAACTGTTTAAATAATTTTCACTAATTCTAGTATTATTTTGTGTGCTGATCCCGGAAATGACACTAAAAATGTAGTATCACCCACCAATTTCTACATTTTGATATCATAGTCTCCGTGACTGTATACTTGTGTCTCAAATATTAAATTTTTTTTAATTTTACAGTTGCGAATATTGACCGTCTCTGGCTCTAGACTTACCCCCATATTCATAAATGCTTAAAAATATTCATAAATGCTTAAAAATTTTATTTGATTTATATTGTAAAAGCAAATACAGTGGAAAAATTCGTATTATTGAACAACACATTTTGTATGTTTAAATTTAAATAATACACATAAAATATTGGATTTTATTTATTTTTGTTTTATTTTTCATGAAAAATTACATAACGGAACAAAATATAATAAATGTGTATTATTTTAAATAAATTTCTTGTACATAAACAGGCATAAAAGGGACATATTTACGTATATGAATTGTTAATTTTGAAAGTATCGTGAAATGAGATATATGTAGAAGGTTTTAAATTTTAATGTTTTTAAAAAGATGTGTGCCAAAGACAATTTGTAATTTACATATGTGTTCTAAAATGTATTAAAATGTTCAGATTACATAAAACTTTTATTAGAAACTTGAATGGAATATACAACAATTCTCTAATTTATAATTTTCTGTTAAAAATTAGAATAGTTATCCTTAAACCCATTGTTTGGAATGTGGAGTCACACTACTTTCAAAATTAACAGTTAACACATACATATGTATATAAATATCATTTTACTTATTAAAAAATCCATCATTTAACATCGATGTTTATTACATTGTAAAATGATTCTTACGGCTTTTTCAATAACAGTGCTTTTGAGGCTTCAATATTGTTCTCAGAGTTATTGTCGGGAACTAATAAAATACTTTCCTCATTGGCGTTATCATCCAATTTAATTTCTTCTCTTGGGTCATCAAAATTCCAATAAAATAAATTAATAACACTAAATAATTGTTGATTTGTAAATATACATGCAGTAAATTGTGTGTATAGGATTTTTAAAAATACAAAATACTTGTAATAAATACAAAAAAACTTCAAAAACTTCATACGTAAATAAAACCAAAATTCCCATAAAAAATGCGTTATTCGTACTATCGAACAGAAAAATTGTGACTTTATTCGTACTATAGAGTAGACAATGCAACAATTTTGCCATTCGTATTATTGGATATTCGTAATAAAGAGTATACGTACTATTGGACGTCCACTGTAATTGGAATATATATTCCATTGTCGTTCCAATAATATATAACTCATAAAAATCTTTTAAAAAATGTAAAAGTTATTACAAATTCCTTAGTTCATATACATAAACTGTGAAGGTACAACTCAAGCTACCCAATATTGGGAAATTTTCTTGAAACCATAGTGAAATATTTTTTGTTTTCAACCGATTTTAATGAAACTTAGAAAGAATATATAATGAAGACCCTTATTTATGATGACATTGAAAAAAAAAAACGAAAATAACCCTTAAACGTAAATATATTTGTATTCTAAATATTCGAGAAAAACAGATATCAGATTCAGTTTTAGCAGCTAAAAATACATTGAAATCAGTTGAATTGGTTTTAAAAGTATTTACAAACCTTGATTTCATTGGCCTGTGTAATTATTGAATTTCAAAACCCTAATGTGTATCGTTATATTAAATACTTATTTGCCTTCATCTTTTACGTAATGTAACCAGCCTCTATTGGTAAGTGTTTTCATAACAGTGTGTCCGGAAAGATATCCTATAAAATTATGAAAACTAACAATATTCACTTAGACTATTATGATTAATATTCACATGAAGGATATTATTATTTGTATTTAATATTTTTTATACACGGAGTATTTCTTCGAAATACCTTATTCGCTGTTTACTTAAATCAGCTCATCAGGAAACCTTTCCTAAATTCTTGGAAAAACTCAAACTTATAGTAGACTATTTTCATAAACTAAATGAGAATTCAAAGAATTTACTAAAATCATTAAAGTTTCATTAATACATTTCTATTTTTAATCTTTCTTACATTGCAATTCCACAAGTGGTTGACTCTTCCCACTCTAAGTGTAGGTTCCCAGCGTTAAAAACCATTAAATTAAATCGTTGCAGTCAGTGGTGATGCTTTCTCTTCCCACATACATATGGGGAATTTCATGTCAAGTGACCCAACTCAAAAAATCGATTTCGACGAAATTTGCACTAAAGTTAGTACTATTAAATAGTAGATCAGACACAAATTTTCAGCTCTATCGGTCAAGAACTGCCGGACTTATAGGGGGTCAAAGTTGGACATTTTGGTCATACAGGGTTTTATTCAAATGTGTGTAACTTTTCACCTATTGGTCCTAGCAAAATTGTCCAAGTAGTTCAGATAGCTATTTCTTCATTGTTTCCAAACAAAATTTTTTTAATTTTTTTTATTAAATGGGCCATATTTTGCTAAAAAGAAAGATACAGCTGAAAATGTGTGTCTGGCCTACTATCCAAGAGTTCTAATCTTGGTGCAAATTTCATCCAAATCGGAAGACATAGATTGTAAAAGTCGGGTCACTTGACACGAAATTGCCCATATTTAAAATTAAAGTTTCTTAGTTAGCCTATCTAACCTAGTATTTGATCTGTCAACATTTTGTGTAGAAGAGAAAATACAGATAAAAAATTTGACAGTCGTATGGCTCTCTTAATTTTTTGAACTGTTTCAAATATGCATGCTATCGCCAATTTATCAAATGCTTCAGAACAATCTACGGATTTCAACAACGATTTTGCCAATAACATCCCAAATGCAAAAAAAAACTTGTCCAGATACTTATTAATATCTAACATATGACCGTTAGGATGAATGGTAAAGTAAGTTTAAGAAACTTACTTACTTCATTTTTGGACTATGTTCACTATAGCTTACATCATGTTTTCCCATGGCCTCTTGTATGGGAGCTAGGTGAAATAGTGAACAAATATTTTAATACCAAACGTGTAAACCTAATCAAGCGAACAAATTTTAATACATTCAGCATCCTGGCTCCATCCGTTCGGACCCTATCGAACTTCCAACAGATTAAAAGACATACAGTGCTAAATCTTCTCAAAAAGAACTCTGAATACATGTATATATACTTTTGTAGGTCTACGACCAAAATTTCGATGTGCTAAAAAACGGAGTTTAGAATTCCATTTTACATAGAATGAAATAAAAAAAGTTGTAATTATTATTTTTGAATTGATATTAACTAAACATATTTTTATTTTTTTTTGTACTCGTAAAATAAATATTCGAATGGATCAACAATTTCTATCATAATTTCAGTCATTTAGTGATGGTATGTAACAGCTGGGGCAGCATAAGATGTATAATGAGATGGTGCGGAGTAGTGAGCCACGGGTGCTAAGGTTTTAACTACAGCTGGTGCTGAATAGTGTGTGTAAGCAGGAGTTGCGTATTGAGCTACTGGAGCTACACTCTTAACTACAGTAGGAGCGGAGTAGTGAGCTACTGGAGCAAAAGTTTTTACTACAGCTGGAGCAGAATAGTGGGTAACAGGAGCAACGGTTTTTACTACAGCGGGAGCAGCATAGTGAGCTACAGGAGCAACAGTTTTTACTACAGCAGGAGCAGCATAATGAGCAACTGGAGCAACAGTCTTGACAAGAGGTTCACGATGAACGACAGCATTGAATCCATTGTGGGCATCAGCAGTGTATTGAACAGTACGTTTATAGCCATCAGCATCAATCAAAGAGTATTCACCACGGACTACATCACCATCACGTTCTTCAACTTGGCTCTTGGAATCACCAGTCAATTTGTCATCAACACCATAAGAGAATCTGTACTGAGGATGAGGATCGTATTCCTCTGACTTAACAACAACCTTTTGAGCAACAGCTACGGGAGCAGAATGTACAGAAACTGGAGCAGCATGATAAACTTGAGCAGCTGGAACATGACCGGCGCTGGCTACCGCTACAAAAGCAAGTGCGAAAACAAACTGTAAACAAAATAAATAAAAAATTAATCAATTAATATTTGTCTGTTTAATTTCTTGAACTTGAATTTGAATGATTTAATTTTTTAACCAAATAAAATTTTGCTTGTAATGCTTATTTGTATGTTATTATTGTCGCATGACAACAGTTTGCGTTTGTGCTTGTTTACCTTAAAAGCCATGTTAGGATAATTGGTAGTTTGGTTCTTTACTGAAATGTATACAAGAAACGAATGATACAATTTGTAAATAATCGTCAACTTTTATAGCAATTAATTTAGATCGAAATTCAATTGTAAATAATTTCTTTGTATTTAGATGGCGTAAGATAAAAATGTGCTATTTAATTATATATTTTAGGTATTTGAAAGTTACGAAATAAAATTAATCTTTCGTATTAATTTTTTCCTCTATCTTACATATATGGTTTGCCTGTTGTTGCAGATTTCCGGTTTAGAATTTATTTTTAGTAAAACATGATGATTAATGAATTATTGAAAATTGGATATTTAAAATGAAATTTTTGCCTCAAATGTAAATGGAGCAAATATTTTTATATTTTGAAAATAAATCGAATAACACTGTGCAACAGGAAAATATTTCCCAAATGATACCAACGAGAAATGAAAGTAGACAATCAGTAGACCAAAATAATCAAAAGATTTAAAGAAGTTAGCTAGCGTTATAAATTAAAATTTTGCAATTTTGTGGAAAATTTATATAGGAAATTTAAAGTTCTCTAAAATTTCCAAATTTTATCAAGGTTCAAAGTTCATCAGAATAGGACAATGTGGGGATCCCATGAAAATTAGCTTTAAGTAAAATAATCCACAACATTTTCTACCCTCCACCACCATCAGTGGTGATAGAGGGCATATATAAGTTTGTCATTCCGTGTGTAACACCAAGAAATATTCATTTAAGACCCAACAAAGTATATAAATTCTGGTTCCTTATGAAATTCTGAGTGGATTTAGCAATGTCCGTCTGTCTGTCCTAAACGCACATATTTAATTGATAAATAAAGCTATTGTGATAAAATTCGACACAGATATGTTTTTCGTACATACAAATCATTCTACTAATTTTTTTACGGATCGGACCATTATTGGTTATAGCTCCCATATAAGGCCCACTTCCGAAAATCACTTAAAATCACATATTTCATTGCCAAATAAAGCTATCTTGATAAAATTCGATACAAATAATTTTTGTCTAAATATGAATCACTCTATGGAAATTTTTTTCCGGATAGGCCCATAATTGGGCATAGCTCCCATATAAGGTCCACTTCCGAAAATCACTTAAACGCATATATTTCATTGAATTCAAAAGCTAGAGGGATAAAATTCGACACAATAATGCCCATTTCCGAAAATCACTTAAATGCACATATTTCATTGTCAAATAAAGTTATCATGAAAAAATTCGAAACAAATATGTTTTGTCTTTATATGAATTACTCTACGAAATTTTTTCCGGATATGCTCCCATTACGAAAATCACTTAAACGCATATATTTCTTTGAATAATAAAGCTATCGGGATAAAGTACGACTTGAATATGTTTTGTGAGCATATAAATCATTCTACGGAATTCTTTTCCGGATCGGTCCATAAGTTGTCTTAGCTCCCATACAAGGTTTACTTCTGAAAATCACTTAATACCACTTAATTCGTTATTAAATGATTATATCCGGATAAAATTCGACAAGAATATGTTCTGTGTAAAGATATATCATTATATTAAAATGTTTTCGAACTGGCCTATTAATATACATTTTTCTGGACTTAATTAAAATTAGATTGCATATCAGATTGCATATCAATACGGAAACAATAATTTTGCCAAGTTATCTAAAAATTAGATGGTTAAATGGGTTTTAATTAAAAATAGCTTCCTGGTGGAGGGTATTTAAGATTCGGCACAGCCGAATATAGCACTCTAACTTGTTTTTGGTTTGAATTTGTTTAAAATTTTATTTTTTTCATCAATATATGGATATGATGGATTATTTTACTAATATCTGATTTTCTTCCCCATAACGGCACAGCACAAGGCACAAACGTATTTTTTACGATAATAATTTATATTTAACAACTAATTCAGAATGATAAATTAGTGTGATATAAATATCGATCGTAGTAAATACTTTCCTAACTCCCTACTTGTAAGCGAGCGTGATAAGTATTTGCCTCCAATGTCATCAATATCGTGTTAAAATAAGGAATAAAAATGCTATTGTGTAAGTAAATTTTAGTATTTATCCCCCTTAAATTTACTTACTCCTTAATTATTATACCCACTATAAAAAAAGATGAGGGGTACATTGATTTTGTCATTCCGTTTGTAACACATCAAAATATTAGTTATAGACCCACAAAAGTATATATATATTCTGGGTTCTTATGAAATTCTAAGACGATCTAGCCATGTCCGTCCGTCTGTCTGCCTGTTGAAAGCACGATAGAGACTGAACGGAAAGAGCAAGGGAGCACAAATATTCTCTGTTGCTGCAGTTTGTTTAGTATTGAAAATGCCCCCTCGGAATACAGTATAACCAGACATAACTGTTATACTGTTATAAATTCGACATAACTAGTTTCGTATGACCAAAAATCTCTCTCTTCAAAATTTTATAAGGATTTTATAAAACATCAACTTTCTTTATTTCGCTTAACCGATTAATATTGAATTATCCAATTAATTACACTATGCGACAAAAATAAATACCTGGGAAGTGATACTATTTTTCTGAAAGGTGGATCCGAGTAGAACAAGCATCTATTTTTGAAATTTCCCAAACACCTCCAAAATCTTAAGATACGGGTAAAAAACCGGGTTTTCATATATTTAAGCACTTAAAAATCAGTAACTTAGTTGAATCTCAACCGATTTTAAGTATCTGAACGGATTTAGAAAGCAGAAGCTGAGGCCCTTATAATGACATACATATATGATGTTTAAGCAACCCAGAAAACTATGGCTGCATTTCATCCGCAAACATGTTTTTGATTTTAACTTTGCACCGCTTTTAAAGCTTGAAGATGTTTTTTGAAAGTATTTTATATAGGAACCGTACTATTTACTAATTAATTATAAGTCTATGTTTATTTAAGAGTAAAACGCAACTTTGATTTTAAAAATCCCACATTTATCCCTATTCCTCATATTAAGCATCCTTCAGAAAATCAGTTTTTGAACAATTTTGTATTTAGAAAAAGATTAATAATGTCGTCATTTGTTAACTGATTTTGAAAGACAAAGTTGCGTTTTTCTCATTAACAGACATAGTATTCTAATACATTTATAAATAGTACGGTTCCTACATAAAATACTTTGCAAAAACATCTCCAAACTTTAACAAGTAAGAAAGTATAGTCGGGCATGGCAGGCCATATGATACCCTACACCAGTTATGAATATTAAATGTGATTTATTTTTCATAATAAAGCGTTTATCTTCAATATTCCCTTGTTCCGATACATTTAAGCAATTTATGGATGAAAAACTAATATTCTGAAAGAGGCTTTATATGGGGGCTAGGGGCAAATATGGACCAAGCCCGATAAAATTTTGTGAATATATTTATATTTACATAATATTTTATTGTACTGAATTTCATCGCGATATTTGTGTTTATAAGTTAATTTGGGACATTCAAGTAATTTTCCGAAGGGGACTTTGTATGGGAGCTAGGGTCAGATGGGGCCCGATCTTTATGAAATTTGGCAGGGTCATCAAGACTTCTATAAAACTTAATTGTGCCGTATTTTATCGATATATCTGTATATTTAACATAATTATGAGCTCAGAAGCCCTTTTCGGGGGGACCTGTTCTATGGGGGCTAGGTGAAATAATGGACCGATTTTAACCATTTTCAATAGGCTTCGTCCTTGGGTCAAATAAAACGTGCGTGCCAAATTTCATCCAATTATCTTGAAAATTGCGACCTGTACCTTGCGCACAAGGTTTACATGGACAGCCAGTCAGACGGACGGACGGACATAGCTTAATCGACTCAGAAAACAATTCTAAGTATACTTTAAGGTGGGTCTAGGACGAATATTTTTGTATGTTACAAACATCAGCACAAATCCAATATACCCTTCCCACTAAAGTGGTGTAGGGTATAAAAACGATGCAAAACTAAAATCAAAAACATGTTTGCCAATGAAATGCACACATATTTTTCTAGGTTACTTAAATATAAAGTCCTCAGCTTCTGCTTTCCAAATCCGTTCAAAAACTTAAAATCGATTGAGATTCAACGAAGTTACTGACTTTTAAGTGCTTAAAGATATGAAAACCCGGTTTTTTACCCGTATCTCAAGATTTTGGAGGAATTTGGGACATTTCAAAAACCGGTTCTTGTTCCACTCGGATCCACCTTTCAGAAAAATAGTATCACTTCCCAGGTATTTCGATTTTCGTTTATTTTGTCTCACTGTGTTATCAGACAACATAAAACCTCAAATATTTATTTGTCGAATAAAGCCAATTTTCAGAGTGTCTTCCTGTATGTCCGGAAGGAACTATATGCTACTTTTTATTTAAAAATTTCAAATTGGCGAGATGCCACGCCCATATACAAAAAAGGTATTTAAACAGCTAGAGTTCTCAAATTTTGTATGGACAACATTGACACCCATATGAACATATGGATATAAAATGGGCGGCTTGTCTATAGTAGGCGTGGCACCTCCCATTAAAGATAACCTAAAATTATTATATATGTATGTGAAAATATAACAGCTAGAGTCCTCAATTTTTTTCGAAGCCACTGTACAAATATACAAAATAATAATTTATTTAAATCTCGTGAAAGAACAAACAATAACAACTTATAATTATGTATAATAAAAAATCTACAAAATAATGTAGATTCAACGTTCTTAATGATGTTGATGATAAGCTACAGGAACTGGATAATGCTTAGCAACTGTGGTAGCAGGAGCTACATAATGCACGGGGACAGCAGATTTTACTACAGTTTTGACTTCACCCAAAGGAATGCGAGTATTGAACAATACGTCTGAAACCGTCAGCATCAATCAGAGAGTATTCACCGTGTACAAGATCACCATTACGTTCTTCTTGTTGACTGTGATTGTCACCGGTATGTTTATCATTGATTTCGTAAGCGAATTTATATTGAGGATGGGGATCATATTGATCATCGTGGTGTTTAGCCAAAACCGGTTGGGGATGAGCATATGTCACTGCAGCTGGGTGATAAACTTGTGGCACAGGAACTAGACCAGCACTTACAACTGTGACAAAAGCAAGGAAAGCAATGAACTGAAAATTGCAAAATAAAATTAAAATTCATTATTTTATCCTTTAATTAATATGTAACAGGATTTCAATACCTTGAATGCCATTTGGAATTATTTTTAGATAACGGAGTTGTTATGGTTTTGGAATGACTTGTGTGCTTCATATTTAAATATGTCTTGTTATTTATAGAAAATTAAATCGCAATAAAATCATTGAATTTTTTATAATAATTTCATAATTACTTTCGAATTTATATTGTATTGTTTTTGTCATTATTATTGTATGTATGAATATAAATTTTTTAATAATGTGTTATTGATACACCTATAAAATTTTACAAGTATGTATATATTTGTTGGTAAATCATTTTAAAGAGGTTCAAAATTTTTGTTTTCAATGTTTACTGAGTAAGGCTAAAAACGACGTTATAACTATATTTTTCACAAGATCATATCCAAAAATAAATTATAAGTGTTTGATAAGATAATTAATAAAATTTTTATGTTTAAAATAAATAGGTGCAAGGGAGTACCCTCTCATATTACCTTAACAATAAAAATGTCGTTATACCTACACTTTTGATTAAAATTAATTCAAAATTATAATATATTAAAAAAATACTGACAGATTATAATATATATAACTGTTATATTAATATGCCCTAAAAATAAAGTTTTTTTTTAAATAATTATCTAAATGCACAAAAAAATACATCGAAATATTGGTCATAGACCCATAAACGTATATATATTCTGAGTCCTTATTAAATTCTAAGACGATATAGCCATGTCCGTCCGTCTGTCTGTTGAAAACACGATAGAGTACGAACGGAATGAGCTAGAGGGTTGAAATTTTCCACAAATATTTTCTATAGGTAAGGTTTGTTTCTGGTATTTCAAATGACCCATATCGGTCTACGTTTTCGGATAGCCCCAATACAAGTCGACCCCCAAAAAACAGCCTTAACGGTCATATATCTCTTAAAGGTGCTACTATAGCAATGGAATTCAACACAAATAAGTTTTATATAAGCCAAAATCTCCCCAGCAAATTTTATAAGAATGGGTCCATAATTGAACATAACCGCCCCCCGCCATATAAGGTCCCATTCAGAAAATCACTTTAACGCTCATCACTGGCTTAAAAATACGAGTAAGCGATAAAATTTGACACAAGTATGTGCCTTACTAGCCAAAATATATCTATCGCATTTTATGTGGATCGCACAGTGGGGCAGAATGGAAATTTTTTGGAAATAAATCTGGCATTTCTAAACGGCTGATCCGATCGGGATAAAATTTGGCGTGAGCGTAGCCAAGGAGTATTCGAGTTTAAGTTTTGAAGATGAACCCTGTAGATGCCCCAGGGACGGCGCTGTGGCGGCTCAAAGTAGGGTACCTACGACATGTAAAATTTTTAAACTCGTGCCATTTTTTTGTTTTTCACCCAAATACAAAGATTTTTATATTTTGTGAAAGCGCTCGACGAGATCTTGAAAAAACATGCTTGGACATACTACTTATCTCTTATAATATCCGAGTTATAGGCATTTAAAAATTTAGTGATACAAAATTTACCATACCTTGGTCCGCCTTTTTTTGAATACCGGGCGTAATTTTGGACCAAATGGACTCAATTTTTTCTTGTTAGTTAGACAACAAAATTTCCAATAATATACAAAAAATTTCAGATCAATATCGTTTACAGATCCAAAAATATACGTTTTTTAATTTAAAAATTCAAAAATTTTTAGATTTTTGGCGTTTTTTTGCCAAAAATGTGTCTTAACTCTTTTATTAATAAAATAAAATTTTTATTAAGAACATATAACAATTTTATAGTTTTCTAAAAGGTATCTTTACGCAGAACGCTTTGGCGTAAAAAACTAGTCCTATTTTTTGAAAATGTTGCCACTGCGTCCTTCCGAATATGACCTATTTTTTATCAAAACTTCAACTTTGGGCGACATGTTCTAAAATCCCAAAGCTGGGATCAGAAAACTGAAAGCAGTTTTGGAAACCTCAATATGTTTTCTATTTACTCCAAAAGTATTTTCCCAGCCCTGAAAGAAATGTGGACCCTATGGGCAAAAAAATAAAAAATCCCATTTTTGGGATTTTCATTCCTATTTTTGGGAATTGCGGGATGCCCTTTGACCTTTTCAATTTTTTTTTGTATATTCTTATTTGAAATGACAAATTTAACAAGCGTTGAAAATTTCATTGAGTTTTGTTCATAAATAAAGATTTTGTCATATATTACATATTTGTTTAATTTCTAAAACTATGATTTATATCAAAATTTTAATAGGATCGCAGATAGCTACAACAATTTAGTCCATATTTATCCCTTAATATAATTTTTTAGTTAGATATGGAAATTCTCGACCCTTTACAAAAAATTTCAAGCCAATATCTCAATTACATTCAAAAATATGTTCATTTAAACCTGTGTCCTTTAATTTCATCTTTTTCATATTTTAGTATTAAGTATGACAGAACATACATTTGGTGTTGAATAAAATATTTGGACAATTTTTAAAAATTATTTAGTTAATTATTTTATTATAATATTGTATATTAAATAAAAAAAATTATAATTTTATTATGAGCCACGCACAACAACACCTAAATCACCCCACACAAATTACCTTTCCCGCCCACCGAAATATAAAACACAATTTAATACAATATCATCAGTTAGTATAATAGCTTTTTTTATTTGAACTGTTTATCTTAAACATAATACAATTAATTCTTACAACCTACTTATATAGTTAATTCCTAACACTACTTATTTTCTATAAAATAATCTGTCATATCGGTATACATATCCAGAAGGTAATATAAGTCCTTTAAATCTTCCTTGTTTTGAGATGATAGAGTTTCATAACAAATCGATCTTTTTCGCATAGTTGAAAGAACAGGATCAGAAGATAGAAGTAAACTATTAAAAATATCTTCATTCTGTGATTGCCTGGAGCATTTTCTTGAGCTTATTTGACCATGACACAATACTTTGTGTACTGTTGGTGTTAGTTCCCTCCATGGATACAGAGATACAAGTAATTTAGAAATTTCAGATGTGTATTCCCCAAATTGATTTTCATTAATTTTATGTTTACTATTCAGTGCCATTAAAATAGTTTTAACTCTTCGAAGCAACTCCTTGTCGATTCCAGTTATTTTTGAAGTAATTTCAAAATCACGAAAAAACCTTCTCGACGTATTACCGTCATTTGTACTACCGCAACTTGAAAGTGGTTTGTCGATGTTTAATCCCATCTGAACTTTAAATTCTTCTTGGATTCTGCTTTTTTCCGCAGCTCTCAGTTCTTTCAATTCTTCATTATTTTTTGTTGATTTAGTAGGATAGTTTGTTTTTTTTTTTCCTGGATCGCCTTGTATGATGGTAATATATTGTGTCCTTTTTCATGCAGAGCTTTTCTTAATATTTGGTACTTATTTCGACTGAGACCCAGTTCCAACATAAGCGCTATTGCTTCCTCTTCAGTAAAATTTGATTATGATGTTGGAGTTGGTATACTTTCCACAATTCGCTTAAGTCGTTTTGGTGATGCATTAGGAAGAATATTTGCAATATGTACGACATCCATATGTTGGTTTTCCTTTTTCAGCATTTCGTTAAATGTATCAGCAATTTCCTCATTTGAGATTGAAAAAAGTTTTTGTGTGACCCTCTTTTTTTTTACCTTGAACATAAGTCTTCGTATGACTTGCAAGGCGCTCCTATTGATGTGTTGTAAGTTGAGATTTCCGTAGTAGTTTCCATCCAACTACAAAATTTTAATCGAAATTTCTTTTGATTTCCATCCACAGACTTACTTTTTACATCAAAAAGTTTTAAAAAGTTTTCAATTTTTGATATGCCTGTTTTGTCTACTTTTCTACTATATGTAGTTTTTATATAATTTGAAATGTCTTCAATTCTTTCTGGCCCTTTTGAAGATATACTCCATAAAACGGAACACAACTCTTCGTACTTTAATTTAATCTTCATTGTAGATTTATTAAATATGGTACTTAAAATCTGAGAAGTTTACTTATATACCAATTCTTGTCATTTCCGATACAGGTATTCCAAAGTAAAAAATTACGAATTGTCTACCTATTAACATTTAGGACTATATTACTATAACCTGTAATTCAGTCATTGATATTTCTTATTAGTGAATGAATCGAAATTATCATTACCTGTACATTTTTACCTACATGATCATAAACGAAACAGAACGAAATGATCTGCCGAAAAAATTTAGGTAAGAAATAGTTATAAATTTTTGAAAATTTAAGCATAATAGGACCTTTCAATTATAAGGATAAGCAAACAAATAGAAAATAGGTAAAGAGATAAGATTTAAATATGTTCTGTCATACTTAATACTAAAATATGAAAAAGATGAAATTAAAGGACACAGGTTTAAATGAACATATTTTTGAATGTAATTGAGATATTGGCTTGAAATTTTTTGTAAAGGGTCGAGAATTTCCATATCTAACTAAAAAATGATATTAAGGGATAAATATGGACTAAATTGTTGTAGCTATCTGCGATCCTATTAAAATGTTGATATAAATCATAGTTTTAGAAATTAAACAAATATGTAATATATGACAAAATCTTTATTTATGAACAAAACTCAATGAAATTTTCAACGCTTGTTAAATTTGTCATTTCAAATAAGAATATGCAAAAAAAAAAATTGAAAAGGTCAAAGGGCATCCCGCAATTCCCAAAAACAGGAATGAAAATCCCAAAAATGGAATTTTTTACTTTTTTGCCCATAGGGTCCACATTTCTTTCAGGGCTGGGAAAATACTTTTGGAGTAAATAGAAAACATATTGAGGTTTCCAAAACTGCTTTCAGTTTTCTGAACCCAGCTTTGGGATTTTAGAACATGTCGCCCAAAGTTGAAGTTTTGATAAAAAATAGGTCATATTCGGAAGGACGCAGTGGCAACATTTTCAAAAAATAGGACAAGTTTTTTACGCCAAAGCGTTCTGCGTAAAGATACCTTTTAGAAAACTATAAAATTGTTATATGTTCTTAATAAAAAATTTATTTTATTAATAAAAGAGTTAAGACACATTTTTGGCAAAAAAACGCCAAAAATCTAAAATTTTTTGAATTTTTAAATTAAAAAACGTATATTTTTGGATCTGTAAACGATATTGATCTGAAATTTTTTGTATATTATTGGAAATTTTG